AGATCCCTCTTGTTTGTTTGTTTTTAACCAGCACATTCTTTACCTTGTCTAACCTCTCCATGCCTTAATTCTGAGGCTCCCAGTGTCTGAGATTTCTAGTCTCTGAAGGTTTTATCTTCCTAGATACTCTCTGGGTAACTGGACCTTGCTGTGGAGCCCTGGGGAAACCCTGGTGGCATAGTGATTAAGAGCTACGGCTGCTAACCAAAAGGTCGACAGTGGGTTTGGTTTTTTTGGCTTTTTGATGGAGCCCTGGTGGCGCAATGGTTAAAAACTATAGCTGCTAACCAAAAGATCAGCAGTACAAATCCATCAGCTGTTCCTTGGAAACCCTATGGGGCAGTTCTGTTCTGTCCTGTAGGGTCATTATGAGTCGGGATTGACTCAATGGCAATGGGTTTGATTTTTTTTCTTTTTCTTTTGGTATATGAGTCAGAATTGACTTGATGGCAATGGGTGTTTTTTTTTTTTTTTTTTTTTTTTTTGGTATACACTGGCTTTTCAATTCAGTTCAAAAGCATTCCATTTTGCCACTGGAAAAAATATTGGCATCTACAAAACATTCATGTTTTTTACACATATATAAACAAGTGAGCATCAATAATTTGAAAAAGCAAAACGTAAAGCCTTTTCAAATGTATTATAGTTATAAAACATTTTATCGAACTTTGTTTCTTCTAAATTCCCCTGCTATGATTCAGCTCTAGGCTTCTGACTAATGACTGTTTTCAATCATGAGCTGATGTACTATGTCAGCATAGTGAAGACCCTTCGGTGTTGCCTTGGTAACACAGGTAAATGAAATGGAATGACAGTGAAATTATTTACCTGTTACATTTTAAGCAGTGAGTCCACAATGGAGTCAGACTTAGGAGTCCATATACACAATTTCCTCTTTCTATTATATGCATGAAGCATTGTATCAGGATGGGATTATTGATGGAGTGGATCAATTTGGATCTTTATCTGGATTACAAAGAGTGCATGATGCAAAGGGAGAATTAGCTGTCTAATAAAATGAAAGTTGGCATCAATCAGTCTTCACTGAGTGAAAACAACATACAGGGCATGATATGAATGCAGTAATGTAAAAGTTAGAGTGCTAAAATATAATGTCACAGTCTCTTCTGTGTGATACCTTTTGCATCAAGGCACATGATACGCCTTGTTTTGTCTCATATAAATCAATTCTTACAGTTCATAATTTTTTATAACTGAATAAAAATGGTGTGTTTGATTTTATCCAAACCTGTTCATAATTCAAAAAAAATTCTTCTCTCAACTCTTCAATTAATTTTTGTTATAACTTTTGTCTATAATTTAACCTTAGTGTTCTGTAAAGTCCTGCTATTAGTATCTGCTCTCAGAAGTGAACTGTTTGTCAAATTTCCATTAAGCTGAAGGTGAAAAATTAATGAACCACTTACTTCAGATATTTTGAAACTAAGGCAAGTCTATTAGTCATGTAGTCAAAAAAAAAAAAAAAAATTAAAGCTTTTAGTATGTTCAATTGTGGTTTAGGGTTTGCTCATATTTAACTTTGAAATGCATTGTTTCATATGCTTAATAGAGCATTCTAGAGAATGTAGTTATTGATTTTTATTAACAGATAAATATATCTTAGAGATGATTTTATTTACTAAAATCCTTTTTTTCTTAAATCTGTGGATGGTAATTTTAAAACAAGGTTAATCAGTGAGTTGATGGCAATGGAGGGGTTCTGAAAATCTATTTATATATTTATATCTATTTATATGTCTGCTAGGGGAGGGTGGTCGTTAGCTGGGGAGAAGTCATAAAAGTACAGCAAGCATAGAAATATAATTTATCCTTCGGCTGTGTTCCTGCTCCATTTTGTTGGCATTCAGAGAATCAGTGAGATGACTTTGGATTTAGACTCTAGAGGAGAAAAGCAAAGTGTTTTTACATAATGATATTGCTAATTAGAATTGGCAAGCACTGAAAAAGTTACAACTATAGGAGATGGGAATTGAAAGGGCAGGGGGAGGTCACATGAGCTGAGGGCATCAGTCAAAGCTTCATGGAGAAGGTGGCATGTGCGCTCTGCATTGAAGGAAGTGCATATTTTAGACATATGTGATGCATGAGAAGATCAACGAAAGTGGAAGGAATGGCTTAAGCAAAAGCATGGAGGATTAAATCATGGAATATGCAAAGGAGCCGCTTAAGACTTAGCATGAGATGTATGAACAAGAGGGATAGGAAATACTGCTAGAGAGATAAGTTGCTATGAGTTTGTGAAAGGCCTTGAATGGCAGCTAAGGGGTTTAGTCTTGAGGCAGTGGGAATCCATTGGATGTATTTGAACTGGGTGCGGAGAGGTGAGATCATGCAGCATTTTAAGAATTGTGTCAGCACCCACCATCTCATGAAAACTTCAAAATAACAAATACTCCACATTTCACGTAAATACTATTTCACTGTCCTGTGTATACTAAAAGCTTCTAAAGTAATCAATGAGGGGGACAGTAAATGCTGGGAGAGTCAAAGTGAGATGCCTATAGCAGGGCTTCCAGCTGGTATGACAAGGCACATTGTGCCTTGAAATATTAATCACTTTGGACCCATGAGCAGCCAGGAACAGCAGGAGACTCAGGGCTCACTTGTCTCTGAGAGCAGCCTCTTTGTTGCCTCAGAATCCCCTTCAGTTCACCCCAGGGTGCTGTATGACTATAAGCATCTTCTACATGAAGCAGGCAGGGTCTGGTTCATGGGCACGCGACACAGGAACCCCTTAGGAATAGCCCCATGCTTGATTTAATGTTCTGCTATCACAGTCCTGAAATACTTTTTGGGAAGGCCCATATTTTCCTTTGCTTTGGGCCCCACAAATTATATAGCCAGTCTTGGTGCCATGACATGAAAATAGTTGGGAAGCAATGGACAGCTCTACAGTCCAAATGAGCTGTCCTATATCCATCTAAAAGGAGTTATGCAATTACGAGGCCAGTGCTGTGCTTATATAACAAAACAAATCCTCAGCTTAAATCTTTACTATTTTTTCTTCAAAGCCATGACTTCTACGGCTGCCACAGGCATACGCTAAATATCAGTTGTTAGCATTGTGGTTTTCCAGATGATAAATTAAGGAAACACTTCTGTAACATATTTTTTCATTTATACTGTGCCTTCTGGAGCCTGGTTGCCAGTATCGTTGAGTTCTGCACCTCCCACAGTCCTATCAAATTAAATTCTGGGAAAACTTTTAGCAATTATTTTCCCTAATAAAAGTTCTGGAAAGTGTAGTACTGTGTTCAAAAACATTATTGGCTGCCCGATAGTCATTCTGTTGTATATTTCCTTTTCTGAGTCAGTATAAATATATAAGCAGAGTAAATGTTTTTTAGCTGTTTCCTTAAGTGCTATTTAGTTTATTCTTTTTCTTTGTTCTGAATACTTGTGTATCTTTCTTTGAATTTTGTCAACATAATTGTCTTCCTTATTTTGTTTAATATTTGTTTATACAAAGTTATATAGGAATGCAGTTTAAATAGTCAAATATTTCTACAAGACTTAATTTATAAAAATAGAAGCCACCGTCTCCCACCCTGCTCTGGGGCTCACTCTCCCCTCCCTCTCTCTAGCTCTCAAAAACAATCTCTTTAATATTTTTAGTTGTTATTTACCTCCCTGTCGATAAGTAGGATGTTTACAAATATACTTCATCATTTTTCAGTTGTATCCATTATATTGAACTACTGTTACAAAAGATAAAGATTTACTTTGGGGATTAGAGCAATAGTCATTATTTATATTCTTATGACGAAGGAAATATTATTCATATCGGAGTCATGTAATATACAATAATTACATTTCTTTCCTGCACAACTTATTTTAAAGCTAATAGTTGCCTTGATTTACAGATTTCTCATTTTTTATGTGTATCTATCACTTCTTCAAATCTGAACTCTCTGAAATTACTGCGGATATTTTCTCAGGACATGAACAGGTATCTGGCATTCCCATTAATTTCATCTTCCTGAGGACCTGCCTTTCCCAGATTCCTGACCTCCTGCTCTCATTCTTACTAGATCTGTTGTACAGGTGTCACGCGAGGATTCTGCTTGGCTAAGAACTCGTATTTCAAAATGGCAATATTAAGTTGATTTGAAGTTCTTTGTATGAGTGGGATTTATTGACTGATGGGTTTTAATGTAAAATGGCTTAGATGAATTGTTTATTGATAGACTCTCTAATTTTCAATATTTTTACTTATTCTCTATTGACCCAGTCATATTTACTAGAGGTGGAGCTTCTATTGTCCTACCTGGAAGAAGAATTCTGGGAGCCAACTAGAGGAAAACATCTGCAGATTCTCAACATTCATAATTCCACCCCATTTTCAGGGTGGTACTCATACTTCATTTTAATCTGATGTCTCCCTGTCCGGACTCAATTCAGTTTTCTGCAGAGCGAGGGAGGTAGAGTTACCTACGTTGACTGGATGACAGGACTGGGATTTCATCAAATCCTCCAGTTTCCAGCCCCTCTTTCACCCCTGCTTTAATAGGTAGCTGGTTTTGCCAATTCCTAACCCTGTTTGGCATCCTGTGGTACAAACTGCATTACTTCTCAGCTTCCCCCACTGCTGGCTTAGGCTTCTTCTGTTTCCTCAGGTCTGTTAGGTCAGCTGACATTTATTCATCTACTTTCCTGTCTTTTCTGTTCTCTTGGCCCCTGTGGATTTATGCTTTTTTATTCCTTTGTTGTTATTTTAGTGAAGTTTTGTGGGGAAACAGGGAAAGGCATGTGGTGATTTGTCATCTTTAACTGGGGTTTATAATTGTATTTGGACTGAGCTTTTATTATGAAATACCTCAAATCATTTTTAATAAGTGACAGTACAAAGAATAAAGAAATAAATAAATGAGTATAAACTTCTTGCTCATAATTCAACTTATTTATGACAGAAAAACTTCTTTAAAGTATTTTAAATGTTTATTTACCAAGGATTTGGTTCCTTTTTCCTTTGAATACAGGTGGAAGCTTTAGACAAAACCGATCAAACCTCACGTCTCTCCTTGTGCAGCCCATCTCTGCTTCTCTCGTGGCAAAACTGATCTCTTCACCAAAGGAGAAAACTCAAAACGATGTCTGTAGCCCTCTCAAACTTCCAAGTAATGGTAAAGTATTTAATGTATTTCTGTGTGTCTTGTAGTTTTTGTGAGGATGGTGATTATTCTTAATTACCTAAATTGACACATTTAGGATTATTCTTTTGAAAAAATACTCACTTTTAGTTAGGTGAGCATTTAATTCTCTTCTGTGGCCCTTTAAGGAACATTTTTAGTAATTTTGATGAAGAGTGAGAGTTGACAAAAGTGAGAGATTAGTAAAGGAAGAGGGAAAAAAAAGCATTTTGGAGTGATACAAAGAAAACTAGCTTTACAAATAAAGCATTTTGTACATTCGTGAAAGTCTGTTTAACAGAGCTTCCCAGGTTCCGCTCCAGCAGTCTCGTTATCTGCCAAGATTCAGTGGATAGCAGTCAGCTATCTGGGGTTTGAAGTCTTTTAGTATAAAGCATTAAAGCCTAATTCCTGCAGTTGGCCAAAAAATCCCTCTGTCTTTGCGCACCACCACCCGGGAGATGCGTCTTGTACAGCAGTGCAGTCTGTCAGGCCTTGTCGGACCACGTGGGCTAAAACTGAAGTAGTTAAGCTACCTGTGGTGGGATGAAAGCCATGGCTGTGTCTTATTTCTGCCTCCAGCCTCAGCATTAGAGTTCTAAAGAAGAGATGCTCTTTACATATTGTTACATTTGTATCTGGTTGCTGTGAAGTACAGCTTGAGGGCTCTGTTTTTGTGTCCAGACCTGGAGGTTCAACTTCCCATGTTTTATCTCAACTTGTCTCTCTGGACAACAAAGCATTACAAACACATGTTTTGATGAAGCCAAAAAAAAAAAAGAAAAAAGAAAAATCTGAATACATTCAGGATTGCCTTCTGTTAGAGAGGACATATAGTATGCTTTTCAAAGTTGTGTTGACTGAGACCCTTCCAAACTGATTATCGATTGAGGAGAGTGGGAAAAATATAAAAAACACTGATGAGCCTTTGTCCACAGAGCAAAAATAAAGAAACCCTTAGGAGCTTTTTGTTATGCTTTTTTTCTGTTTTCTACACTGGGCCTCACAAAATGACCATAGGCCCTTTGGTTGTTATTAGGTGCTGTCCTGTCGGTTCTGACTCATAGCAACCCCATAGGACAGAATAGGACTGCCCCACAGGGTTTCCTACGCTGAAATCTTTATGGCAGCACAATGTCAGGTCTTTTCTCCTGCAAAGCCACTAGTGAGTTCAAACTGCTGACCTTTTAGTTAGTAGCCAAGCACTTAACCATTGTGCCACTAGGCCCCATCACAGGCCCTATTTGGTAAAAAATGTAGTTATCACTGTAATACTAGCTTAGCTGTAAGGAAAGCACTGGACTTGTAAAAGACCAGATGTAAGCTCAGATTTAATTAATTAATTCAGTAAACATTCGGAGCCCCTAATGTGTTACAGTCACTGCCCTGCCCTCAGCAAGCTGACGTTCCATGACCACTCATATGTCTCCTACTTTCTGGAAGTCTCTGCGACTGCATCTACAAAAAGAATTCAAATTGTCTATCATCTCGAATTATGAGAATCAAATTATGATCTATATCTGAGTACTTTTGTGCAGTGAAAATGTTATGTGAATATTAGAGAATATCTTCCTTATCTAATTAATACACCAATTCCTTCTCACTATATATTTGCTATTTTTCTCAATATATATAAATATATATATATTTGCTATTTTTCCCTATTACCAATTTGATATATTCTTAGATAAAAATTAAATTTTATTAGAATAATGTTATGTCTGTTAATATTATTTATTTTTATCTATTTCAGATGTATTTTGAGAATCTAATTGGTTGGCAGCTATTGCTATGTGGGAGTTGCATTTTTAGCATTTTTTTCAGCATAGGTTTGAAAACATTGAACCTATTATCTTCCAGAAATTATGATTATACTAAAATTCCAAATAGTGCATTTTAGGTTTTCAAGAAATATTCATTAACAAGAAATGTTAATAGAGTTGAGTCTGACGTTATTTTTGGCCACATGTGAGTCAGTCTGTTCAGAGTGGCCCCAATATCTGTACATGTGAGAGGATCCAGGAGTACATAATGCCTTTCTGGTTAAAGAATGTTTTGATACACACACACACACACACACACACACACACACACCATGTCTTGATATATATGTGTGTGTGTGTGTGTGTGTGTGTATGTAAGTGTGTATGTATATATATATATCTAGTATGGATATATAAAATAGTATCTTGCTGTATATTATCCAAATATGTCTTGCATGTTTGTGTCTCTAAGTTATAAAGTCATATATATACATGTATATATACACTGTCATGACAAAAAAAACACTCAGACCTTAAAGTGAAAATTTGGAGGATTTATTAAACATTAAAGATCCATTCAAATGAAGGAAACCACCAGCTCATATAAGAAAACATGGCGATTCCAGAGAGAGGGTCTCAGGCAGGAACAGTTATAGGGCTGGAAAAGGAAATTACAACAACAAAAAAATCACTGATTGGTTAAACATTCATTGAGGTCAGAAGAAGGAGGATTAAGTGAAGCAGGGAAGAGGCTTTCACTGGATATATATGCTTAGGTATGCTTTGGTAGGCTACAGAGGTTGGTTATAAGGGTTAATTACAAAAGTTCTTTTGGGCACAGAGATTTAGTCATAGTCTCAAGATGCTAACAATGCATATCTTCCAGAACAGGCTATAAAAACATCTAGTTTGATGTAAAACATTTCTTTGGGTTATCTAATACCCAAGGCTGGTGCTAAGAATTGGTGCCAAGGCCCTTAGAAACTGCTTGCTGAAGTGAAACTTCCCAGTTGCCTGGGGAATTTGATAACGGGGTTGGTGCCCAAGGTCCCTTTCCTGAGATGTTGTTTATTCATCTCTATCGTGAAAGGAATATTCCTTGGATTTCTTAGGGCATCTGTGTCAAGGCCCTCTCCATGAGGTGCATTCCTCCCACATCCTAACTTGGCCGCAGAGAAAAAAACCTCCCTAGCTACCCATATGGTCACTAGCCGGATAAATAATATGAAGAACAGGCATTGTTAACTTCAGTTTTAATTCTGCTGAATGCAGAAAAAGCATGAGTTTAGTTCAAGCATTTTATTTTGGTCAAAGGTTCAGAAAAATTTCTCTTCTGTAACACACACACAGAGACACACACAGATACACACGGCAAGACGTTATTTTATATATCCATAAATCCATACCACTTCATTGTCTACCGAGATCTATCTTTTGTCCATTGAGATATATCTCAGTAGACAATGGAGTCGTAGGGGTCTGATATGGTGTGGCCTCCTTTAAGTCCCAACTTGAGAATGAAACCAATGCAAAAATACAAAAAGGGTTAGGTGAGAAATAGAAAGAGATAGAGTGAGGCATAGATACACGCACCCAGACACACAGTGGGAGACTGACTGACTTTCTACTTTACCGATAAGCTTTTTTGGGCATAGCAAGAGAATATTCCTCAGCAGGCCTATAAAAGTAAGAAAATTGAAAACTTGTTACAGGACAAGCTGGGTTTTCGTAGTTTCTGGGCATCAACGTGGGAGGATATCCAAAAGAAGAACGTGGGGGAAAATGAAACGCGTGCAGAGACAATTTCTATATAGTATGCGCATGTATGGATTTGGCTGCTGTACTCGATACAAAAAAATTCAGTGAGCTAGACCACTTTAGGAAAGACTGTTCTCAGTGGTGGTAACTCAAGCTAAGAGTTAGGAGTCACTACACTCTGCAGTGGGGAGCCCTGGTGGCACAGTGTTTAAGCGCTCGGCTGCTAACTGAAAGGTCAGCTGTTCGAACCCACCAGCTGCTGTGCAGAAGAAAGATGTGGCAGTCCGCTTTCATAAAGATTTATAGCCTTGGAAACCCTGTGGGGCCATTCTACTCTGTCCAGTAGGGTTGCTATGAGTCAGAATTGGCTTGACACCAATGGGTTAATCAGTGGGTTAAACTGTGCAGTGGTGACACCCGGGTTTTGTGGCGTGTCAAGCAGCCATTTGCACAGTGAACCTAGGAGTCTGAGCTGGAAGCTGGTAACAGAGTAATCAGTAGCACTAAAGATCAGGTTTCATGAGCTGCCAGTCTGACGTCTATGGACAAAAGGAAAAAAAGCTTGAGAAATCGCTTTGAAGGACTATTCATCAAGGGTCTTAAACAGAGTGAGCATAGGTGGGAAACCTATTGTCCGAAGTCCACAGAAAGTACAGTCAATTCTCTGTTTCCTGGGGAGTGTAGGTTGGGTTTACTGAGGGTGACACAGATCTGTCATTCACCCAGAACTTCTCAAGTTTCCAGCTTTCTGTCTCTACAGTTTTGATTCTAGGGAGGAAATGATTTAGCTCAGATTCAGTCTAGAGTTTTTTTTTTTTTTAATGTTTGTTTGCTAAAAAAGCCAAAGGCAACCTGAAACATACACTTTTAAGCAAAATTACTTTAACAAGTGTTTTCTGATTTTTCAGTGTTTCCCAGCAGTTTTCCCCACCTTCTTACATTCTTATCAAACTATTTTTCCAAGTACCTGTCACTCCTTACGAATTATAGAAGCTGCAACTAAACTTTGAGGTTTATATGTGTGATAAAATCCATTAGAGCATATATTGTCTTTATATTTTGATGATCTATCTATCAGGGCTGATGTCACTTGCCGACTTAGAAATTGCTAAAAATTCCTCACTGCCCTTCTGGTTCTATATCCTGCTCTTCCTTTCGTATATCCAATTTTGATCCCTACCGCTCTATTTGGTATTATCCAAATATGTCTTGCACATTTGTATCTCTAAGTGGTAAAGCCCCTGTGTCCTCTACATCTTTCAGTGCAAATGCCATCTCCTCTTTAAAAAGCCCTTTAGGAAAGATTAGTCCAAAGGACTAATGGACCACAACTACCACAGCCTCCACCAGACTGACTCCAGCACAACCAGATGGTGCCTGGCTACCACTGCCAACTGCTCTGACAGGGATCACTATAGAGGTCCTGGACAGAGCTGGAGAAAAATGTAGAACAAAATTCTAACTCACAAAGAA